ACGATCAACCATTGTCGAGGAGAAACGTGGTAATTTTAGACATGTGGCCCTCTTGGACAGTGTCATTACGATAGAGAAATTTACTTTTATCCGCCGCTTATACCCTTTTGGGTGTCGCGGGACAATAGAAAAAAACAAACAAAGAAAAACGAAATTGTTTTGTGGAGGGGGGGGGGCAGAATGTGAAAAGACGCTGGTGGCCAAGTTTCGTATGTCTCCCCCCGTCCTAAAAAAAATCACTGACTTTGAACTTTCTATCGCCTTTTTTTTCCTTTCCTCAACGAGATGCGTGCGTCTTGTCGATGTCGAAAGTCACGGTGTGACGTCACTCGGCATCGATATTCATTGACAGGAACTAGTTTCTCAATGAGATTTCAGTGTTGACTGGCGTCATAGCCGGTGGAATTTTGGGAATCGCCGACGGAAAAAAATAACATGCTGCTTCGTGAATTAACCGAACTGAAGGGGTGCCTCGAAGAAAGATAGACGGTATTGCCACAAGCTGAAGTGCTGAGTTCCGATTGTTTGGTGGCGTGTGTTTTTTAAGTCACCCTCCTACTGATGATTTTATTTGTCGCGGCGTGAGGTTGGCTGTCTTATCGATCGATCAGCTGTTCAGAAATCCTTTCTTTAACTAATGTTTTTATTCGCTGATTACCATACGGTGATTTCATGTAGGTGTTTTACGACACAATTTAGATCATAATTTAGTGGGCGGGTTTCAACCCTGTCTGTCAGCCCCAACCCTGGCTGAGGGGGATATACAGGTTCCAAGGATTTGATCGAAATGCTCGATAATAGTACTTTACTCCTCACAAGGGATTTGAACTCAAAGTCTTCTACCTGCGACGGCCAAGCCCCTAACTGCCCCACCACAGACGCATGTGGTTTGATCTTCAATCTCTTTCTTTCTGTTCCTACATACGGATGATAGAGGGTGCTTCTGGTTAATCCTTGTTTTCTTTCTCTCCGCGTTTTTCTGTCCGTCTTGTTTGGGGGTTCCCCGCCCCCCCCCCGCCCCCCCGCAAAGTGGCAGCGGGTGTTTGGCGGGTTTCTTGTGTGGTTTGCTCCTTCTTTCCTGTCAAACATCTGTCGTTCTGATCTCTCCTCCTTCCTTTTTGTGTTTGAGTTTACTAGCTCTTTTTTAACACCTCTTACCTTCTGCACTTATATTATGACCTTATTGTGTTGTGAGTGCTGTAAAACTCTTACTTAAACAAAACGACAGACATGTCAGTGTGCTTCTCTATACTCGGACAAAGCCTGATCCTCTCCTCGTCTCATTGTGCAGTCGGTTTTGCCCTGTTTGCGGGTGGTTGGAGGACGCCACTGGTAGTGCCTACGTCTTTACTTTCCCTCTGCTGTTTCTGTCTGTCTTGTCTTACTTTCTTTTCCCGCATCGTAAATGACAATTATTGTGTTAATGTGCTTCTCTTTCTTCGAAATTATGCCCCCCCCCCCCCGTCCTTTTTCGCCAATGTTTACTTTCTTCGTGTTTTGTTTAGCTTCTTTGTGACCTGTCAGACATTTATTTTCCTTTCTGTACGTTTTCTTCTGTCTATCTTTTCGTCCGCGAAGCCTCGTGTCACCTCACTCCGTGTTGTTAAACGTTCTTCTTCTCGTCCACATTTTCCCGTTTTATATGTTTATAGTTTTCTCTTTAAAAAAAAGAAATAACTGTTGGACTTTAAGTTGTGATCTGTCCCTTCTACTTCTTTTCACTGCCGAAGTCTGACCGTTATCACTAACTCCGGCTCACAGCAAAACCGCTACCTGTTCCTTTGGGGGTTTTTTTTCTCTTTAGGGCAGCATTTGTATGTAATTGTCGCTCTCTCCCATCCAGGTGTTCTACCTTCCCGCCTTTGATGACCTCTTTGTTTCTCTCTGACGGTCTCTCTCTCTCTCTCTCTCTCTCTCTCTCTCTCTCTCTCTCTCTCTCTCTCTCTCTCTCTCTCTCTCTCTCTCTCTCTCTCTCTCTCTCTCTCTCTCTCTCTGTCAGTCTCTTTTCACTCTATCCCTTTCAGTCTACTATGTGTGGTTTATGTCTTTCTTTCTTCCTCCCTCTATCCCCTTCTCTCATTTGTCTTGTCGCCCTCACATTCGACCCCCCCCCCCCTCCCTTTCTCCCCCTCTTACGTCAGAGTGACCCAGTGTCGCCTGCCCCTGCCTGTCTCGCCCCGCCTGCAGTAGCAGCAGCAGCGAGCAACAAGAGGCGAGACTCGGCCTGACCGCCGGCGTGAGCGGCAGCACTCACTCCAGGGGGAGGTGTGCGTGCGTGTGCGTGTGCTCGTATGTGTGTGCCCGCGGGAGCCCCCCCTGGACGGAGGCAAGCAGCCCCGGGGCCCTCCTCGTGATTTCTAATCAATACCCATCACATTGCGTTACACATCGGGTCGATAGCAACAGGCCTGAGCCCTTATGGCCCCTCCTGATGGGCGCCTTCCCCTTCCCCGTTCCGGTCCCTTTCCTCTCCCCCCCCCCCAAAAAAAAAAAAGAAAAGAAAAGGAAAGGAAAAAAAAACATGGGCTGGGGTAGTACCGCGGTACCGCTTCCATTTCCGAAAGATCGAAGCAGCTAGGCTAGCGACTTG